TTTCCTTGTGTGGTGGTCTCAGGGCAGAGCTTCACTGGAGCCAAAATAGGGCTCCAGACTTACAAAGGCCTGGCCTCAGAAGTGATGTATAATCAATCCCTTTAGCCACATTATGCACATTACTTGTCAAAGCAAGTCTCAAGGCCAGCCCAGGCTCATGGGGTGGAGAAATTGACTACATTCTGGTAGGAGAATCAGCAAAGTGACATAGCAAAGGATGTGATGACCGGGACAGGAGGAATTGTGGACATATTTTGCAATCAGTCACAGCCTGGCCCTATGCATTTGTTTTCATCCACTGTTTAATTTAAAAATCGAAACATCGGGTAATTATAAACTGTTTATTTCATTAATTGAAGTAATTATGTCATTACATTAAAATATTCAATATACCTTAGATCCTACTCAAGTCTGACGAAATTAGTGATTGAGTTCAGTAACTGTAGATCTATAATTTGGATCATATAATTCTGATCCCAAAACAATCATTTAACTTAGGCCATCTGATTGTGACTGTTATTTAATAAATAATAATTACATTGTCACCTGTGTTCTTATTGTGTTTTTTTATTTCCTTTGTAGCAACATCATTTTGTTGTATCAAAAATTTTAATCTCTATATTTCTATTTTTAAACCCTTTCCAGTTTTTTTTTTAATTGAGATGAATTCATCTGCATTAAAAATGACAAAGATTACTTTATTAGGTACCATTAGGAACAATATGATTGTAAATGTATGATTTTTCAAAATTTAGATTTTCAGGTAATTAAAATCTTTAAGATTTTCTTTAAGCATTATTGTCATTAAAGCACCAGAAGTGTATAATAATAATCTGCAAAAACAAATAAGTTAATCATAACCTATTGCAAACTGAATGTACCAATCAAAAATAAATATACCAATACATGATGCCCCTAATTTCAGACTTAACAACTCTCTACTTACTTAAACAGTCCTTTTTTTTGTATTTCTATATTTAAGATGACATTGAGGTCAGTATTTTGTTTTTTATCATTGTTTATGGTTCTGATAAAAATATGCCATCTTTACGTCCATGCCTATATATGAAATTTTATATCCCTCATATATAAAATCTTATAGAAAAATTTGTTAAATATATTGAAATATGTTAATTTCAATTACTATTATTTGAAAACACCATATGTTAAAAGGGCATGTATTTTTTAAAAATATATTTAATAATAATATTTAAAAGCTAGTTACCATAGGATTCTCTTTTAGTTTTATGTTATATATTAGAGGTCCGGTGCATGGATTCATGCACCAGTGGGGCCCTGGGCCTGGTCTGTGGCTTTCCGACATCCCCCGAGGGGTTCCAGAATGTGAGAGGGCACAGGCCAGGCTGAGGGACCCCAAAGGTGCATGATCCGGGCTGGGGAGGGACTGCGGGAGTACTCCAGGGCTTGTTCAGCCCATCTTGCCCAGTTCCAATCAGCTGGACCCCAGCAGCAAGCTAACCTACTGGTCAGTGCGTCTCCCCCCTGGAGGTCAGTGCATGTCATAGCGACTGGTTGAATGGTTGAAAAACAGTTGGACACTTAGCATATTAGGCTTTTATTATATAGGATTATATATAGTAAATTTTTTATATGTGGTAAAATAAAAATGCCATAACATATTTCTAGGCAGTGAACTTTTCATGATTGATTGCAAGGCTCCAAACAACCTTTTTACTGTAGCTCTGAGCTTCCAGGTGCATGAGTAAGTCACATAGGGCAAACCACAGCTGTGGGAAATCAGCAAGTCACTGTCAGTTATGACTCAGCGGAAGAAAAACTGTTGACTATAATTAGGTGTGACAGTTTCTTAATGGTCAAACTTAATCACCCTTTTTAGGTTGGGTTTCATCTCTGCATGTGTCATGATCTTGTCCTGAAATGTCAAAATACTGAGGAAATATATAAACACAGCAAAGAAATATAGAAATTGAATCTCAGAGCCAGCTCCCTTTATCTGTCCATTTCTAGAGAGGGATATTGCCTTGGAATTTGGGGAGTCTTTCTTTTTTAAAAAATCTTTATTGTTGAAAGTATTACATATGCACCCCTTACCCCCCATTAACCTCTCCCAAATCGGCCCCTGCCCCCTACCCCAGGCCTTCACCACCCTACTGTCTGTGTCCATGGGTTATGCATATATGCATATAAGTTCAATGGTTGATCTCTTCCCACCCACCCACCCTCCCCTGCCTTCCTCTGATGATGAGTGGATTAAACAGCTAGGGATTATTTCTTATAACAACATTAACCCAGGACCATGTGCATACACTAGCCTTCCTACAGAGACATCTCTCAAGGCCCAGCCTCCAAGTCCTGAGGTCTGTAGGACAACCTGCTTTGGAAGCAGAACCAGTGATGAAAGCCTCAAGGGTGAAACACCTAGAGAACTTCCACAGCTAGAGCCACTCCTCCCCCCACACTGCACACAGACTGGCTTTTAGGAAGGAATCAAGATTCAAGTTATAGGAGAGGGAGGGTGAGCTGCATCTGTCCAGTATTCTCACCTGCATCAACATCTGTCCTTAAATCAGAGCCTATTACCAGTTCCTATGTGAGAATACCTGTTGGGAAGCATGAGACTTGGTTGGAAAGTTTGTAAAGAGGGAATTCTGATAAAAGGGAAGTGTGTGGAAGGCCGCCTGCCCTGTTTATTGGAATTCGACTTAGGGGAAACTTTGGGGAGTGTCGAAGGCAGCAACTCTAATTATTCCTTGACCTTTCCAAACAAGTCTGCACGAGCAGACCCCCGGGTGTTTACTGGAATCCTTGTGCTTAATCCCCGGGTGCCCTTGCCTAGAGGACAATGTAAACACAGGAGTCCTCCCAAGGTTACTCACCCTACTGATTGTACCTAAAGATAAAAACTGCAATAAAAGCCTAAGGAGGCAGGCAATCGAGGCTGCCTGGTCCTTTGGCCAGGCCGTCCCTTAGTCTCTCTTTCACAGCAAACATTGTGTCAGAGTAATCCATTCATCCATCCCTCAGGGGCTGCTGGTCAGCCCTGGCAAATACCCACCTCAAATTCTAGCTTCTCAAATGCCACCTCTCCTCCGTGCTGAAGCTGTCATCTCAACCAGACATTTCCTATGCATTTTGCAATGGGCTTGAATTCTCATAATCTTCCCTCTCGAGCCTGTTACTTCCATTTTGCTTTTCTTGGTTAGTGGCATCACTGTTCAGTTGAGTTGACCGAAATAGAAATATAGAAAGCGCCTGTAGCTCCTGTCCCTCTGCTTCCTTTGAGTCTACTTCTGATAGGTTCCCTTGCAGCCGTCTGACGCATCCCAGCTCTATTGGTGCTGCCCTAGAACAGAATCCGTCACCTTTAACATGGGTCCTGGTAGTATGTTCCCAAATATTCTCCCACCCCCTTCTCCCTTCAACTAAACCTCTACACTACCATCAGAATATGTCTCTGTGTGTCTCAGGCATGAAATGACCATGTCTTTGTCCAAAACCACTGATGATTTCCCCATTGACTCTAAGATAGAGACCTAACTCCTTGGCATGTTAGTCAAAGGTTTTACTAACCTGGTTCTTGGCTATTTTCTAGGCTCACCTTCAATCCCTTCTTAAACCTTCTTCACTTATAATCCAATCAAAACCCATCATGCTTTTAAAAGACTGCCTCTTTTTTCCTACAAAGTTCTCTACCAGAAAATCTCCACATCTCTGCTGATATTCAATAAAATGGCACCTCGTTTTTAGCTTCTCTGGGCCTTCTAGCCTTTTCTCTTACCTTACAGGAGAATTACTTGTTTCTGTATTTATATCCCCTTAGCACTTTCTATGTTCCTCCATTGCAATAGCTGACACATTGCTTTGGGCTTTGGTTTACATAACTGTCTCTTCCATTGTATGACCAGTTCCTTAGGGCAAGGCCTGTTTTTTAGTCTCCAGCAAATCCTTAGCAGATTCCTCCATTCATTTCTATGAAGCATCTACTCTGCAGTAGTAAACAAGACAGCGATGGATAAGTCAGGCATGGTCCCTGCCATCTACGCTAGACCATAGAATAGATTCTAATAGTGGAAATGAATAGGCATCCAGATTTGATGATGGTGTCTTAACTAAGCTGATATTGGTGGAGATGATATATCAGGAAGTAAAATAGACAGCAATTCCTTATTCACTGGTGCGAGGGCGGGGGTGGGGGAGTGGGGGAGCAGGGAATGAGAAAAGAAAGCCAAGAATTTTTAGGCCAGCCAAGAATTAGGTGAATCTTAGGTTCCATTAATAAAATTAGTGCTGTGATTCTTAGCACTAGAGAACTTATTTTACTTGTAGCATATAATCAAACTTTACTGGGCTTAGAACTAACATACATGTTCAGAAAAATGTCTACATGAATTACAGTTTTTATCATTTTAGTAGAAATATTAAACATGCATACACACACACACACACACATATATATATATATATATATATATATATATATATATATATGAACATTTGGTAAGACTACATCATGTTTTTCTGAAAAGCTGAAATTAAAAAAATTCTTAGGATTAAGTATTAAATACATTTAAATAATGTTTCTTTAAATACACAAGGAGAACTTTAAAAACCTATGTCATGATAGTTATGTCAGTTCCTCATCAACAGCATTATAAAGTAGTGTTATTATTCATAATGTATATTTTTTAGACACTTTCTTGGTCTCAGTGAACTTTTTACAAACAGCTTTCTTGAGGTATAATTGTTCAGTGAAATTTCAATAAGTGAATGAAGATAAACATAGGGCTAACATGTTATAAAATTTAAAGCACTTGCTGATAATCCTTAAAGGAATAGCCTAATTGATTAATATACTTGAAATTATACTGACTCTTCTTTTAAGCAATAATCGGTAAAATGAATTAAAAGATAAAATAATATTATGATTACTTCCAGAGTTGTGTAACTATGAGTTTTTTTCATGATATAACTTCATGTCATACTGTGTTATCTAATTAGGTGTTTTTTTTTCCTTCTAGATGAGCAAGAGATAGTACAAAAACGAACTTTCACAAAATGGATCAACTCTCATCTGGCCAAGGTAAAGGAAACCACCAAAGTTCTGTGTTTACCTAGTTTGAGCCAATAAATAATTAAAGGTACAGTATAAAGTCATGCTGCTTTTGCTGTGGTCGCAATTACTAATCAGTGATATTGTCAACCCCATCAGTTTAACTGTTGCCTACGTATAGCACTTGCTCACATTGCTCTAGGAGAAATGAAAGGATGCCTAGAGCCAAGAGCAGCTATTCATGTCAATTCAAGGAATCTTGAAATATTCACCCAGTTATTTCTCCTGTCCTAGGATGAGTGCCATATGAAAAGAATTGGAGCTGGGTTTTCTTTTCTGTGTTTGTTTCGATTTGGAACAGAAGGCAGCAAGGAGCGGTGTGCCCTGAGCAAAGAATTCTATGTGAGGAGGTCAGAATAGTGTCTCTCGTGCTTTGATAGGAAGTAGCCATGGTGGGAGGACACTAAGAGGACTAATCATTCCGAGATTATTGACACTGACATTAGGTTGTATCAGTGACTGTATTTGTACAGTGTAATGACTGAACATAAATACTGATATAAAACAAACTCCAATACAGCTATATGATAATAAAACTAGAGGCCTGATGCACGATATTCGTGCAAGGGGCTCGGCCCTCGCAGCTGCAGCTTGCCTCAGCCCTCACAGCCCCAGCTTCATCCAGAAGGTCGTTTGGCTGTCCGGTCTGATTAGCACATTATGTTTTTATTATTATAGATTAATCTTTTATCTTGCTGATGAAAAATATGCAAACAAAAAAAATCACTGCATTTGTAAAAATAAATACAGACAATGGGACAATTGTCTGACTTGAGTGAGAGGATCCTTTGGCTGAGAGCTGTGCCTACAGTATTCAAGACAGAGCTCTATGAGCAGTTTTTGATAAGAGATTTCCCCAAAGTCTCTTTTATGGTTCAGAAGCAAACAAAACACGGCAATATATTTCAGCCCAACTGTACAAATTAACTGCTTACTGTGGTGTCTCTAAGAGGCTTTGGTGACAGAAAAAAATTACTAAGACACTTTCCCAGGCCTTGAAAAGCTCGCAGTCCAGCCAAGATTGAAGACAAGAACAATGTGTCTAAATACAGGATGAACTGGATGATCTCCCCTACAATCCCTTTCCAAAAGCCACGTGATGAGAGGAAATTCTCTGGTCAAGGGGTGCACCCAGCTTCTACCCTAGGTACGCAGCAAATGCCTCTCATTTTCTCAGGTCCTGGCCGGTGCTTACACCACACAATTAACATCCATTGGGAAGGTTATTTCTTTCTTAGATGAAAATAGAGTTATTGTTTTTTCATATTGTTAGAAGATTACATGCTAATTGTAAATAATATTAACAATATACCTCTTACAAGTGTAAAGAAAGTGAAAATCACCTCAAATCTTACAATCCTGATAGAACCATCCCTAACTTATTAATCGTCACTTTTCTACACAGGGACACATGATTTCACAAAAGTGGTTTTATAGAATCGTGATCTGTATGCCTCTGTTTCATGCAGCACATCTTTCCATGTCAATAGTCACAGAGCTACATAGTCATATTAATGGATGAATAATTTTATTATAAATATATAAGTTATAAATCATAAAGTACTCAGTAGCTATCGATGGTCATTTACGTGGTTTCTAGTTGGTATTATACAAAACCCTACATTGAAAGTCCTTGAGCCTATATCTTTGAACACTTGTGTGATTTTTTCTTAGGATAAATTTCTAGAAGCGGCTAGTCAATAGGCATATGCATTTATAATTTTAATATATACCAAGAGTTTATCTGAATGCCCATTTCCTTACACTAGTAACGGACTTTAAAGCTACAGTGTTTTCTAATCTGATTGGCTAATATAATTTATAATTAATTTTTAATTTGGTTTAAGTAAGGTTGAATACCTTTGTGAAAGTTTTCCAAGTAAAATTCTTAGGACACATTCATCTATTATGCACCAAATCCTTTAAAAGAAGGGGAAGTTTGAATAGATGCCATGCCATACAGTATGTGAAGGGCCTTTGTGGAGCAATGATCTTCCAAGAGTTTATTTTCAAGTCTGTTTTGTAATTGCTGTTTTATCACTGCTTCAAGTTGCTTTACACAGTGATGTGGTAACTGGCTATTGCAATAGGCTTTACCGATATGTGTTGTTTTTTCTGGTCTCTTCCAGCCCTGCTCTGTGACTTCGCCCCTACCGTTTCTCACCTAAATATCTAAGCCCTCCCTTTACTGTGGAGTTCAAGCCTCTTTCATTTGTGAAGCATCTCTGACCACATGCGAGACAGAGTGCCTGTCCCCTAGCAAATGCTCAGTTTCTCTGCACCCCCTCCCAGGCCCATCCCCCTCCTTTCCCTGGGTTTCCTGCCTCTGGTGTGGGAGGATATGAAATCTCTGCCCTAGTCCAGAACCTGCAGGGTAGGCGAGGTTCAGCATGCCTTAGATTATCTGGTACTGTTCCCTATCTCAGCCTCCCGGTAACATTGTGAATCACTAAGGCATGTGCTAATTCTTGGAATTTCTTTATAAGTCCCAATAGCTCTAAGCACAGTGCTGAGTACCATACAAAGGCGTTTGATAAAACAACAGCAAAGAGTCTATATCTTCTCTTGATTTTTTTATAATAGTAAATGCATTTCTGGGGAGAAAAGTAACGATGCATTTCTGGCTCTGTGCTAAGTACTTCACACAGGCTATTTTACAGCCTTCATCTCCATAAATTGGTGCTGCTGAGATTTTAATCCAGACATGAATCTAAAGTCTGCGTGGTTTTTCCTACTTTGCACATTTCCGCATCTATATTATTATTTTGAAAGAATAAGAAAATTATGAAAAACCTCCATAGCTGCTCCATTATAACCCTAATATGATTGAATGGTTTTGTTCTTTTTTTTCCTCTCTCCTCTGCACTAGTGACTTTTTCTTTCCTGAATTACCTGGAAAATTGAAAATGGAAGCAGAACAAGGATACTTATACTTGTTATCCTGAACTTGTTTATACTGATGCTGTGGTATCTTGTCAAACATAGCCAAACCCACAAATTCATTGGAGAACACTTTCCTTTCCCCACTCACTTATATTGCAGAAACATTGCGAAGATCAAATTTGACCCCATTACCCTTCCTCGGCTGTTGACAGTTTCAGGTCAGTTATAGAGTTGAGCTTTCTGTCTCCATCTGCGCCAGCAGCTGATCACATGACCCCCTATTATCCCTCTCTCTTCCCCAGCTTTTGCCCACCTTCATCCCTGAGTTTCTATTTACAGCCCCATTTCTTTCTCATTCTCCCACCCATCTCTGTCCCATGCCTGTCCATCTCTAACTCTCCCAGGCTCTCTCCCTCTCCATCACAAGACTACTCAACCTTCTGTCTCGAACTCCCTCTCTCCATCCCCATTTTTATGCTCATTTTCATCGCTGTTCCTACCTGTAACCTGTACCTCTAAAAGCACATATGCCTTCTAGGCTTCACAGTCTCATGGAGGTCACACTTCCATACGCACCCAAATGAAAAGGGAAGCACACACTGGCCTTCCCCCTGCGGTGTGCTCGCTTACTCCTGAGAATGATCATCTCTCTCTGACAGAAACAAGGTCAGTTTCATGTCTTTGGTTCTGTGTCTGGACCAGGGCATCGTGTCACTTTTCCTGCTGTCCCTGTGAGGAGACTTGCTCCCAAAGCAGTTCTGTGAGGCTAGAGTGTGCCTGGTCCCATCACTCTAGCACTTTGCGGGCATGACAGCAAGCATATACATGTGCTCACGTACACACACACACACACACACACACACACACACACACTCATACGTTTAGTCGCTAGGCTCCACAGAAGCATATGAAAACAGCTTCTCAGATTTTTGGCCCTCGGCTCCTGGTCACCTATCGGCAACACGGAGTTATCTCCCCGACAACAGGTTTTCACCCACAGAGCAGACCAGCCCTGTGTCAAGGTCTTTCCTTATCCTCCAGAGGTTCTTGAAGCCAATGTTTCCTCCTTCTGTTTGCTTATTAAATAACCAAGGCCAGTGGTAGGTCCTACAACTGAGAGCCACCTGCCCCCAGGATGGAGCCGTGACCGCTGTCCCCTTTGAAAGGATCTGGTGTCCTGTAATTTGTGGGGTCAGATTGAGTCTGGTTTGGTGTGTAGCCTGTGTGCTTGTTTACTTTGTCCAGTAAATGCTTAACCAACATTAATCAGCTGGGGCTGCTGTCACAAAATGTCATAAGCTGGGGCATGTAAACAGCAAGCATTCATTTCTCAGTTTGGGAGGCTGCAAGTCCAGAGTCAAGGAGCCAACTGATTTGCTTCCTGGTTCCTGATGAGAGTTCTCTTCCTGGCTGTGTCCTCACGTGGTGAAAAGAAAGAGAGAAGGAGGGAGGGAGGGGGAGGGAGGGAAAGAGGTGGGGAGGAAGGGAGGGAAGGAAGGAGGGAGGGAGGGAGAGAGAAGGAAGGAGGGATGAGGGAGGAAAAGAGAGGAGGAGGGAGAGTGGGAGCATAGGGAGGGAGGGAGGGGAAAGGAACTCTGGTCTCTCTATTTTTTTAATTAATTTATTTATTGATTAATTAATTTTATAATTAATTTATTTTTTAATTTTGTTTTATTGCTTAAGGAATTACAAAGAGTAGTGCATATGTCTCCTTTTCTTCCCCCTTGACCTTCCCCCAGCCTGCCCTCCCCCCAGTGTCTGTGTCCATTGGTTATGCTTATATGCATGCATACAAGCCCTTCGGTTGATCTCTTACCACCCCCTCGGCCCCCTCCCTGGCCTTCCCGCTGTAGTTTGACAGTCTGTTCGATGCTGCTCTACCTCTCACTCACTCATATATGGGTAATCTCTGCCTATTTTTATAAGGACACTAATCCCATCATGGGGCATCACTTCGCAGCCTCTTCTACACCTAGTTACTTTCCAAGGCCCCACTTCCAAACACTCCCACAGTGGGGGGTGGGGGGCGGAGGCTTCCACATTTGGATTCCAGGGGCACACTTTCAGTACATAGCAGGCTGGATTGA